AGTTTTGTTGCGATTTCACATACATAGAATATAAATGGAAATTACAGTGCAAATTGCAAGAAATTACTGAAAATCTTCACAAGGAGCAATAAAGTCTTCAGAAAGTGCACCTGAAATTGCGCACAAATCACGCTATTTTAAATCGCAGCAGTGTGACAAGGGTGTTACACTGATACTTTGCAGTAACACATAAAGTGTTTGCTATTACTAGTTCATTCTATTGTGTTAAGATAAGATGAAGTCCAGCTTACACACACAGGAATTAGCGTGATGTTAATATAGCAGCACAGTGGCTAAATGGTTAGCACTTCCCCCTGGCAGTACTGGGGGTCGTTGGTTCGAATCCCAGCCACGGCACCACCTGCCTGTAGTTTGCATTGTTCTCCCTGTGCCTGGCGTGGGTTTCCTCCGGGTACTCCGGATTCCTCCTACACTCCAAAGACATGCTGGTAGGTTAATTGGATCCTGTATAAATTGTCCCTAGTATGTGTATGTATGAATGTGCATTAGGGACCTTAGATTGTACACCCCTTGAGGGTTAGGGACTGATGTGAATGTAACAATATATATGTAAAGTGCTGCGTAAAAATTGACGGCGCTATACAAGTACCTGAAATAAAATAATAATGTTTCAAATTTGCGATTGCTTGCCAATAATTCAAGAGCATTTTAAAGTTTTTTGTTTTACACATTTCTTTTAATCCAGTGCCGGTAGTCAGTGATAGCTAAGAGGGTCTGGATGATATCGGTAGATACTTTAATCCAGAACACTCCCCTCCTTTTGTATTTTTTTGTTTTTGGTTTTACAGTCATTTTGCAGTTTGTTTTTAGGTGTAATTGCATGCTTGTTATGGGGAGAGTACCAAGGAGTCTCAGACTCCAGAAGTTGATGAGTTTTGGCTGCAGCTAACTGGGACCTGTAGGAGCTGCTAATATCTGCAGGTCCTCATGTGGGAGCACAGTGGGCTGTATGCTAAGCACTTTCAGGTCACATGCTGGACACTACTAGGTTTTGAATCAGGTTTTTTGATGCCTGTTTTCCTGATACAAGACACTAGGAAGGGAGACAACAGGAAGGGAGGCAAATCCTGCCTAAAGTTATCCCAACTTTTTCAGTTTTCACATGAACAAAATCCTAATTAGAAGTTTACTCCTCACCCAGGGCCGGTGCCAGACTATATTTTGCGCCCTAAGCAAGACCAGCTACTTGCACCCCCCCCCCCCCTTAGCAAAAAAAAAAAAAAAAATTTGTAAAGACGGTAGAAAATGTTAACTCAACAAAACATGAAACTGCTCAAATTCTTTTGATTTGCAAAAATAAGTGCCATAAGATGCCACCAGTACCAATATTAAAGACAAAATCAGTCTCACGGATGGACTGTATCTGTGGCTGGCAGTGGCAGGGTGAAAGTTGCAGTGAGTGGAGGATGATGTATCCACACTCTTAACAGATTCCAGGTAAAATTCCCCAGGCAATGGGGGGAGGGTAAAACGCTGTGAAAGCAGGCAGCCCAGCCCACACACACAGAGAACACCTGAACTGAGCAATCCCACACAGTGACAGATCTGACACAACACACCACCACTAACACTGACACAGATCAGCAGACCCAGCAGGCACTAGAAGAGCAGGCTGTGGGATTGTAATAATGTCATCACTCAGTGACACATTGCACATGTGATGGATGGCTGACCAGCCGGGGTCACACTCACACAGACACGAGACATCAGACATTACCTGCCTCTGCTGATGAATGGGAAGAGAGGGGCTGGAACTCCACAATGAGCAGCAGCTGCCAGCCGCTTGCAGTAAGAGACTGTGTCTGAGAGGAACACAGGAAGGAGCAGCATCTTAGCTGCTACACTGGCCCCAGACACCCAGCATGTTCCTCTGTCCTTTCTTCCTCCCCTCTGCTGCCCCTTCTCTCAGCTGTAGGATCATTTATGATGTGGTGGCATCACACACACAGAGAGAGTGCCTGCCTGTGCTGAGCACAGGCGCCCCTAAGTGGCAGTGCACCCTAGGCAGCCACCTAGTTTGCCTTGTGGAAGCACCAGCCCTGCCCTCACCTCATTTTGAGGTGAGAGCTGTAAACATGTCACTGTACATATTAAAAACTCTGTTGAGACAGCAGGGGTATTTAACTTTGGTTAGATTTTAGATTTTTATTGAATCCAACCACAAAGCTGAATAATAATGAGCATTGATATCATCAACAGGCACAGAATCCCAGTCCTATGAGCTGGCTAGAATGACAAGATCTATAATATTGGTGCACATTCAACAATATACACGTAGTATACAGCCGAACATAGATCCAACCATGAAGGGAATAATGGTCACAAAATACCAACATCCACCTGAGTAGGCACAAGTCTGGCTATGTGGGAGGACCTAAATATTTTTTATATAAACAACTAAGCAAAACCAAGAATTGGAAAAAATTAAACATGAGAGAGTAAAGACAGAAGAGGAA